GAGTCATTAGAGCACAAAATAGCCCATTTCGTCCAATGAGTCCATGTAAGCTGCCTGCACAGCAATCCAGTCAATTCCATTCCTCCTCTCTATTCCCACAGTCGTCTAATTTTATTTCCAAGTGCCCATCTAATTTCCTTTTAAAATCTTTCTTCCTTTCTATTCTGCCATCCTGTAGACAATGAGTTAAAGTTACATCGCACTGTTGTGTAAAATAAAAGCGCTTCCTCATTTCCCTCTTGTATCTCTTCCCAAAAATTATAAATCAGCATCCCTTGGACCTTGCACTCTCACCTAACGCTGCAAACAGCTTTTCTTCAGCCTACCTTCTCTCAAGCTGTCATGATCCTCTCACCTCTGCCAATCAAATCCATCACTCAATCTCCTTAGTCCAGGAAGAATAAACCAACTTTCACAAACCTAACTTTTTACCTATATATATTCATCCCTATAACCGTCAAATGGAATCTTCTGTTATGGAGTCGACATTGAGCAAAATGAAGATTGTCACATTTTGGACCAAGATGTGTGTTTTTGCATAATCATATGTTTTTCAGCTCATTCCTTAACTCATGAAATAACTAGCATGCATGAATGATGAATCTTATTGGATGGGTGCTGGAAATTCTACCCACCAGGGATCTAGGTCCAAGTGCCCAGACAGTACTTCACTCAACGCAAACCTGTAGCATTGCTGGAGCATGTGCTGGTTGCCCCTAGCTACTGCCTGAAATATCATAAACCATGCAGAAACTGACACCCGATTCACCAATGTGTAATTTGTAAGAAGGGTGACTGTCACTTTAAGATTCTGATCACATTGGCCATTTTGGGAAGCAAAGAGCTTAGTTTAACCTTGCTGCCTATAGAGTGAACACCTCCTTGAAATAGCTACTGTGATTGTTAAACACTTCAGCCTTCTGGTCCTTTTCGAAATGACGAGATTCACGCTGCTTTGTGATCCGCAGGGTGAATCCACTGATTTGTCAGGGAAGAAAACAGAATCATGGTCCTAACTGCAGATCTTGAATGTACTTCAAGATAAAGAAATCAAAAGCACTGTCACTGCACTGAAGCAAGTACAGTCCTCACGGAGAAAGAATTCACCCCAAGGAAGAGGTGAACAGTGCAGAACAACTCACCTTGTGCACCATCCTGAAGGTACATTGAATAACAAGTACTTTACATAGAGGGAAATGTTTTGAGATGGAGGTGTACACTCAAACAAAAACAGGCAGACTCAGAAATACCTTGTTTTAAGTGAGAAGAAGCAAAATTGGCAAAGCTAAGATTTTTGTGGTACATCATGCTACAAAGGCTTTTTTCATTTTTTAAAAAACTGGCAGTAAATTTTGCTGCTGTAGGACTAAATGACAAAAATACAGAAAGCTGGAACTCCTATACACAGAAATTCCATTATTTTGTTGAAGCTAACAAAATTGAAGCAGATATACTCATTCCTGCGTTCCTGAGTATTATTGGGGAACAAAACCTTTACCCTCCTGAGAAGTCTGGTACAGCAAGAGAAACTGCATTCTAAACTTATGAAGAAATAGTAGGAATGCTACAAAACCATTGTTTACTGAAAGGTTCAGATCCCACAAATACAACCAGCATGATGGTGAATCTATCTCCTAGTTCACAGAAATTTTTAAGAAGTACAGAATTTTGCAAATTTGGAGACAAAATGATGCTACAAGAGACGGACTGGTGTGTGACTTAAGATGTGAAGCATCCAGAAGATGTTACTGATGGAAAGAAACCTAGACTCAATGGAAGTACTGGAAATAGGAGTCTCAATGAAACTAGCAGCCAGGGAAGCTCCACAGCCAAGCACCAGCAAGAAAGTTCACAAAATGGCAGCTGAGAGACAAGCACAACGCCATCTCAAAACTGCCAACAGGGCACACAGCAGCAAATTGCTGATGTAAAGAAGCTGTATGCAGAAACTGCAGCATAAAAAGGGTACTTTGAATCAGCATGTTTGAGGAAGAAGTGTGGATAGCATACAGGTAAAGTACAGAAACTGAAGAGAAGGAAGAAAGTCTACACTACAAAAAAAAAGACATCAGGAAAGCCCAGATACTCAGTCTGACGAGTACTACTATTAAACATACTGGCTATTGCTGGCAACACCAACCAATATTCGGTTACTCCCTCACTGAATGGCAAACCGATAAGGATGGACATTAGAGCAATAGTTTCATAGATACCTAAAAGTATATTTTAGAAGCAGCTGAGTTACATTGCGCTGCAACCCACAAAAATTGTACTAAGAACGAAAACAGGCAACGTGATGCCTTTGAAGGCTTGTGTCAAAATGAATGTTCTATTATATGGTCAATTTGAAGATTTGACCTTACACATTGCCAAAGGAATACTTCCAGCTTTATTGGGAAGAATGTGATTGGAGAAAACCAAACTCAACTAGGCTAAAGTAAATCACTTGTTAGATTCTGAGACTAATCTATCTAAATTCTAATGAAATATGCTGTTGTTTTCATTGGGGATCTGGGAAACATGGAAGAGATCTTTGTCAAAATGAAAATCAAGGATGAGAATAAAGCAAAATGTTGCAATGCTAGATTAATGCCTTATGCATTCAGACCAAAGTTTGAGACAGACTTAGACTGGTAAAGACGGGAGTCCTTAACCCTGTAAATGAGTGTATTTGGGCCATGCCTGTCATACCAGTGATGAAGACAGATGGCTTGGTACACATCTGTGGTGATTTTAAGGTAACTATTAATCCATTATTATGTGCTGAGCAGTATCCTTTGCATTTAATTGATGACCTATCTTCTGGACCAGCTAGGGGTCAGCTTTTTCGATAACGTTGATCCTGAGTCACTTCATATAGTTGAAATACTTGACAACTGTAAAACAAAGGACTGTTCAAATACAAGAGACTTCATTTGGAATATTATCTGCACATGCATTACCAGATTAGATTTTAAGTGGATTGGAAGGAGTCCATAGACGATATTTTTGTCATGGGGAGAAACAATTCAGATGTTACTCTGTAGTAGACAGGAAGATTATGATTTAAGCATAAAGAAGGACAAAGGTAAATTTTTAAAATCTTCGATCAAATGTTTGGGCATGTCATTGACGCTAAGGCACTACACAAGTCACCTTCAGAAGTAAAAGCCATGCTGAGGCACCAGCACCTAAAAATGTAAACCAACTACAATCATTTTGGAGAGACTCAGCAGACCTAGCAGTATCTGTGGACAGAAAGCAAAGTTAACATTTTGGGTCCTGTGAAGAAGGGTCAGCGGACCTGAACCATTAACTCTGCTTTATCTCCACAGATGCTGCCAGACCTGCTGAGCTTCTCCAGCAATTTCTGCTTTTGATTCAGATTTCCAGTATCCACAGTTCTTTGTTTATCATACTATCTAATTTTGGACTTGTTAAATTATTACAGCAAGTTTGTCCCAAACATAAAATCATTCTCAAGCCTTTGCACAATTTATGTCAAAAAAAGAACTGGAAATGGGAAGATCAGCGTGAAAGAGCTTTTACACAAACCAAAGAGGCTTTAAAATCAAAGTCCAAAGTTACTGTTGCAAGTACCATGTGATGCATGTCCCTATGGAGTGGGAGCAGTCGCTCCTCACATCTAACCCAATGGTGCAGAGAAGCCAACAGCTTTTGCATCAAGATCATTAAAAAAAGCAGAAATGAACTATGCACAGATACTGAAAGAAGCTCTAGTAATCATGTTTGGCATTAGACAATTCCACCAATTCCTGTATAGCTGGAAATTTACCTTATTAACAGACCACAAACCACAATATTTGGGCCTCATACAGAGACGCAGAGGGAGGCATTGTTATCAGCCCACACTTATACAATTAAGTATTGGCAATCCAGCATATATTGGAATGCTACTGGGTGCTCTATATTACCTTTGCCATATAATTGACTACAAATAGTACATATGTAGATATTTTCTACTTCAAACAAGTAGAGAACATTTTGGTAATGGCAGGACAAGTTAAGAAGTACACTAAAAATAGTCCACTACTACCAAAAGTGATGGACATGGCACTTTGTGGAACAACCCCAGAACTGAACCTATCTGTCACACAGAAGCTAGAACTATCCGTACTAGCAGGATGTTTCCTATTGGGAACAAGAGACATCATTCAAACACAGCTAACAAAACGTGTGCTATGTCAACTACATGAAGGTCACTGTGGTGTTGTCATAATTAAGGAGATGGCCAGAAGATATTTTTCATGGCCATGGCTTGACTCTGAGATTGAGGAAAAGGTAGGAAAATGTGTAGCTTGTTTATCTTCAATAGCACCATTACACCCACGGGAATGGCGAGAACGGCCAATGGCAAAGAATCCAAATTGACTTTTGATGGGGTGAATACTTTTCATAGTAGTTGACACACATACTAAATTGCCTCAAGTTGCTAGAATTGAAGTAACATGTTAAGAGAAAACCATTGAAAGATTGAGGAGAGCGTTGCGATGTTTGGTGATCTAGAACAACTTGTTAGTGATAGTGGTCAACAGTTTATGTAATGAGTTTATGGACAATCTATCTAAAGCTGAAAGCAATTCAACATAAACAATCAGCTCCTTATTACCCAGCCACAAATGGTTTGGCAGAAAGGTTTGTTCAGATAATTAACATTCCCTCAAAGATAACGCAAGAACAAGGATCAGTATCCAAAACACTGAGCCAATTTTTGTTAATAAATTGGAGCACAGACAACTCAACCACTCAAAGTTCTCTAGCATTTCTCACGGTGAATTGTCAGTTGTGCAAAGCATTTGGTTTGCTGAAACCACGCATGGCAAAAGTTCCTGTTGACAGGAAACAACAAAATCAGGTTTTCTAATGGGAGAACAAGGCCAAATTCCACGTTTTCCAACGAGGTCAGAAGGTTTAATGAGGAAAACACCACTGGCAAGAAGTCAGTACCAGCTATTATTGTAACACAGACATGTAGAATGGAGAGGATATGCAGATTGACTTTTGGCAACCAGAACGAATGTGCCAGAGACAAAATTAATTGAAGATCCACAAATAACTGCCAAATAGAGGCCTGGATACATCTGAGAACAGAACAATAATTGGAGCCTCTGAGGGAGAGAGTACCTTAGTTGAGAATACCATGACATTGTGTGAACCTAGAATCATAGAATCCCTACAGCGTGGAAACAGGCCATTCGGTCTATCGAGTCTACAATGACCCTCCGAAGAGCATCACACACCCCCATTCCTACCCCGGTAACCCTGCATTTCCATTGGCTAATCCACCTAGTTTGCACATTAAACTCCCTTTGCTAGACCATCAATTGCTCTTGTAACTTTAGCAAAAACCCAAGAATCAATGGTGAAAACCAGAGAATGATACTAAACATCTTTGCTGCGGTAGTAAATACCTTCAGACTTGTAATAAATAACCTAACAGCAGTATTAAATATCCTTCAAGCAATTAACGCCCTGACAGCAGCATTAAACATCCCAAGAGCAATAATAAACACCGTTATAACAGCATTAAACACGCTTATGTTAATGATAAACACCCTTACCAAAGTAATAACACCCTGACAGCATTAATGGACACACTGTAAATACGATGAGGAAGAAGTCACATAACATGGAGGGACAGCAGGAATATGTTTACAGATAATATCTACATCTTAAACCTGATCACCTAATTAGTTAAAAATTGGAAAAACATAAGACGAATTGCTTATATATACATACATTTTAATCAATCAATAAATTATAATTACAACATAGAGGATTGCTAATGTAAATGGTTTACTATGAATGCAATATTTGGGAACTTGCAGACGACATTGTGATCTCGACATCAACATCTGCCATAAGATCTGGATTTCAGGAAACTTGAACTAAAAATTGTTGAGCAGGGCATCAGGGCTTGCAGGGAAGTAGGTGGATATTTTGATTCAGGAGGCACGTACACTGCATGGTCACATAATGGCGCAGGTCATTAGAAGTCAGGAACAGAAGGATTGTTCTATAATTTCTGAAGGTTGTGTTACCTTCCTGGTTCATGGGCATGTCCTTGGAGCTCCAGAAGTAGTTGGGAGTAGGAGGAGGAAGGATTCAATTATCGTGAACCACAGAGGATCCAATTACGTAGGTAGAACTAAGAATATGGTTCACATGAGAGAGATTATGGGTCAAACTTTAAACACAGAATCACACAGGTAATGATCTCAGAATTGTCATGTGAGTCTCATGCAAATTGGCAAGACACAGATTAGAAGGCTTAGCTGAAACAGTGGGAGGCAGGGTTTTTGATTCTTAGGATACCAGAAGACATCTATTGGGACAATTTGCACTGAAACTAGATTTGATTCAAATGTCCTGATGTATCAAATTGACTTATAAGGTAATTAGGGCTTTAAACTAATGAATTGGTGGGGCAGGGTGGATAGGGGGAGGGAAAGATTCAGAAAGAAAAGTGATTTGATTAATGGACAGAAGACAAAGAACATGAATAATAGGATCATTTTCATTGTTGTGGGCTATATCTAGTGGGTTACTGCCAGGATCAGGTCCCAGGACTCCTATTTACAATCTGTACCCTTGACTTTAATGAGGGAACCCAAGTATAAAGTATCCAAGTTTGGTGATGATACTGTTAGGTGGAAAAGTGAGCTGTAAGTTGGGTACAGAGAGGCTGTAAAGAGATATAATAGGTTAATTGTTTAGCAAGAAAGTGGGAGATGGAATGTGAGGTGAAGAAGAGCACAGCTATCAACTTTAGAATCATAGAATCCGTACAGTATGGAAACAGGCCCTTCGGCCCCACAAGTCCATACTGAACCTCAGAGCATCCCACCCAGACCCATCCCCCTATAACCCACCTAATTACACATCTCTGAACACTATGGGCAATTTAGCATGGCCAATCCACCTAGCCTGCACATCTTTGGACTGTGGGAGGAAACCAGAGCACCCGGAGGAAACCCACGCAGACACAGGCAGAATGTGCAAACTCCACACAGACAGTTGCCCGAGGGTAAAATTGAACCTGGGTTCCTGGTGCTGTGAGGCAGCAGTGCTAACCACTGAGCCACCATGCCGCCCCAAACTTTGATTGGTAAAATAGAAAAACCCAAATTTATTTAACTGCTAAGAGACTGGAAAATGCTTATATTCAAGGAGACCTGAGGGTCGTTGGCATGAATTACAGAAAGTTAACATGCAGGTGCAACAAGAATTAGGAAAGGAAATGGTACGCTAGATTTTATTACAAAATGATTACAGTTTAAAACTAAATAAGTTTTAGTCCAATTAAAGAAGCTTTGATGAGAACACACCTGGAGTACTGTGTATAGGTTTGATCCTTTTACCTAAGTAAATATATATCTTACTTACAGAAAGAGCACCATAGATTTACTTGACTGGTTCCTGTGATTAGGAATTACCCTTAGAAGAAAGATTAAATAGGTGAGACCTAGATTCACTGGTTTAAAAGCATGATGTGATCTCAATCAAGCAAATATAATGCATAGAACTTGATATGATAGGTGCAGGTAGGACTTTTTGACTGGCTTGGGAGTCTTGGCATTCATAATTTCAGAATATGGTGTCAAACATTAGGACCGAGATGAGGTGAAATTTTTGATTTCAAAAGAATGTGAAACTTCTGAATTTGCAACTCTTGAGAGCTATGAATGCTTAGTTGCTGAGAATATTCAAGATAGAGACTGATAGATTTTTGGATTCCAAGGGAATCATTGTACACGGAGCCAATCAGGAAAGGAGAGTGGAGGTACAATTAGGCATGCTTCATCAACTCTACAAACTAAAACTCTAAACTCCTGAAAAACTGATGCCCAACAGTGGACGAACAGAATTGTCCTCCAGTAAATTATTGGGAAGGCTGAAGTCATTGCTTTTGGACCACACTACAAATTCCATTCCCTAGCTACCAACTCAATCACTGTCCTTGACAACGGGCTGAGGTTGAACCAAACTGTCACAACCTCGATGCTTAAATGTGTTTTCAACCACACATCAATGTCATGACTAAGTCTGCCTATTTCCGCCCGTTTAATAGCACCCTATTCCACCCATGCCTCAACTCATCTATTGCTGAAATGCTAATTGAAGTCTTTGTTACCACTAGACTTTGTTATTCCAATGCATTCCTGGTAGCCTCCTGCATTTCACACAAATAGCCAAATGTAAACAGGGGAAAAAAAAAAATCACATGGCAGAGGGAAAACTGGAAAAACAGCTCCATAGCCTTTGTTCATAGTATCTGTTGGGTTGGTCCTTATTGATCCGAAGGTTTCTCCTCTACCTTTTTCTGAATGCTTTCACTGGTTTGCAAGAGGCACAGCGTAGCTGGTTCACTTATGTAATTGGGAAGGTTGAGGCTATAGGGTGTTCTTATTTAAAATCAATTGCCAGAATATACAAATTACACCTTAACAAGTCACAATGGAGAACATCAGGGGAATTGGCAACAAAAAGGAAGAGAATTTTAAAGTTGAGGAATTGCTGGATCAAGTGGTAATGTAGATCAGTAAGTACAAGGGCGAATGAGACTTATGACAAGGATACAGGCAGCTGATGTTTGGATGATGCCAGGTTTATGGACGGTAAAATGCAGGAGGCTACCAGGAATGCATTGGAATAACAAAGTCTAGTGGTAACAAAGACTTCAGTTAGCATTTCAGCAATAGATGAGTTGAGGCATGGGTGGAATAGAGTGCTATTAAATGGGCAGAAATAGGCAGACTTAGTCATGACATTGATGTGTGGTTGAAAACACATTTAGGCATCGAGGTTGTGACAGTTTGGTTCAACTTCAGCCCGTTGTCAAGGACAGTGATTGAGTTGGTAGCTAGGGAATGGAATTTGTAGTGTGGTCCAAAAGCAATGACTTCAGTCTTCCCAATAATTTACTGGAGGACAATTCTGTTCGTCGACTATCGGGCATCAGTTTAGCAATCTGATAATTTAGCAGCTATGGAACAATCAAGAGTTGTGTAGGTGAGAAAGACCTGGATATCAACTTTAACCTTCTTTTTGCAGCCCTAATCTGTGGACCTTACAATTTACAAAATATAATACTTCTACTATTAAATGTGAGTTCAGTAAAGATGCCCTTATTTAAAAATCAATTACCTGAATATACAAATTACACATTGGCAGAACAGAATAGAATTTTCTGTACTCACCCAGTTCAAAAATCTGTAATGGCAGTGTGAGGAACCCTGAACAAGGATTGGGCTTATTTTGTCCTGGGGCTGCGCACACATCATCAGATGGCGGCAAAAGGAGAAGGAAGGACAGGTTGTCTGCAAAATCCAACACCTCTTGGCTGTACAGCCTGAAATTTTTGGCCTAAAGTTTCACAGTGAAGGGGAAAAAAACACTTAAGTCACCATGTTCACAGTAAGTTGAATCCCCCTGACAATTGTATTATAATTTTGTGCACACATACTAGCATGCTGTTCTGAGCTGTACAATACAGGTCATAGGGTAGAGGGCAGGGTGCTTGGCATCAGACAGGGTAAATGACAGAGAGTAGAATAGATGGTGAAGTGTCAGACTTCAGGTGGGTACAATTTGTGGAATGAGATGGGCATTCAGACAGAAAAATAATGATTTTGATACAGGTGCCTGAATGAATTGGTTGTTTTTAACCTTAAAATGCCTTAATCTTAAAATTAAATGTCTTCTTAAATCAGATTAAATGCTGTGGCGCTGGAGACTTGAAAGCTTTCCACTTTGGATACCCAGGACAGCCACACTGTGATATCAAGCTCACTCTGTATAATGGGATGTGACTATTCCAGAGATGATGACGTAACTCATAATGTTAATCTGATATCAGTAGAGTCAGAAGTCACATGACACCAGGTTTAGTTCAACAGGTTTATTTGAAATCTTAAACTTTTGTAGCATAGCTACAATCCGAAATCCAGTGATTTCAAATAAACCTGTTGGACTTTAACCTGGTGTCGTGTGATTTCTGACCTTGTCCACCCCAGTCCAACACCGGCACCTCCACAACATGACATCAGCAGAGTACAGCAGACTAGAGGGAAGTTCATTATGAAGCAGGATTAAGACACTACATTGGAGAGCTGTATTCAAGAACATGTGTATACATAAACATGTAAATGATGACTGGCATAGTATTAAAGGAAGTGAGAGAACCTTACTCTAGGATAAGGATGAACGAGGCATGCTAGAGATAGAATAATTCAAAACATATCGCAGATCAGTAGCATTTACATCTCTCTAGAAACAGAGAAGATATCACACCAAGGGAACACATTCCTGACGAAGGGAAATCATTCGGAAAAGAAAAAGCCCAAAAGATCAAGAATGAAGATCAACAAAGTAAGCTAAAATCTCTAAGATGAAATCAAACAATGTCAGCACAGATTCTGGACTATTTTCTCACAAGTGAAAGAGCTTTTAATACCGAATTTAAACTCAATACAAGGGTAGTTGTTTCAATACAAGCTGACATCTTGCCTTGGTTCACATCAGTGAATGTTTAACTTGCGAGCACCAAATGTTAAGGTCTGATGGGCACAGATCTTTGGTCATTTCAATCCCTCCTCAGTTATAAAAATCGAAAAATCAGGGAAACTGAACGTATTGAAGGACCCAATCATACCATTACTACATAGAAATGGAGAGAATGGACATTACACTTCAAGGGGAAAATGGAAAAGAATTTCATGAAAAATTTCAAGGCTATTCAAAAGCTTTAGACAATCTAAAACAGGAGAATCACATTACTCTGCAGGAAATATACCTCATTTCAATTCACTGACTATTAGCAAAGGTGAAGGCTTGGTTAGAGAACAAATTAAAAAGTAGGGTTATATCACAGAACCAACACAGAGTAGCTCAGGACTGCTAACAGATTCCAAATACAATAGAGAGCTAAGATTGTACATGAATCTCATTCAACTGAACAAAAGGGTTCAAAGAAAAGTTTGTTGAATTTTGTCAGTTGATGACAGTTCCACTAAATTTGCCAGAAACAGCTTTTTTCATAACACTAGATGCAAACAGTGAATTTTGGCAAATATCCCAAAACAACGAGTCAAGATGGTTGACTACATTCATCACACAATTTGGGTGGATTTGTTTCAATTGTTTATGTTTCAGCATTTTGTATGCACATAATTTTAAGGTTTGCTGAAGACAAATGAGATATCATTTGTCACATGGACGATATCCTGTACACTGTCAGACCAAAAAACAGCATTACAACAAAGTCAGGGAAGGTTTAAGAGCATCACACTCAATGAGGAATGTCAATTCTCAAAAAAAAATTATATTTTTGCAATACACAACTAGGAGCAAGGTATCACAGTGAATCCCAGAAAGACATGACCAACAAGTGAACCTCTGTAATGGAAGTGTGTGAACAATGTATAGTGTGTCTTAGGAATCGTGAGAATTGGGAAAGTCAATTCTTAACCATGCCACTCAATCCACAGAAGAACCTTTGAAGAAAGGCCAACAACCGTATTAGAGTCATAACAGACTACAACTTTTCAGAAGATTAAAGAGAAGCTGTTTTCTTAAATAATCAACTATACATAAGCCATGATTCTTTACCATAGTTGCTGTGAATGTATCATAAATGGAACTAGGGTAAGTTCTCATTTGGTGCAAAATGTTGGACACAAGTTGACCATATAGTTTGCATCAAGACGACTGACAAATTCTGAACAAAAATATGGCACAATTGAAAACATTGGTTGTTTATATAGATTTTCTCATGGGGTTGAGATTCTAGGATGAAACAGAGCGTAAACTACTAGTCACATGACTAGGATCAAATGAAATTGCAAAAATACCACTGCAAATACCGAGATTTAGATACATGTTAATGAGACACAACAACATTACTGTCTATGTCCCAGGCAGTGGGCAGATTATGGTTTATACATTCTTCAGGGCAACTTGGATCAGTCTAAAATAAATACTTAATCATCACTGAAGAAGGGGTATCACACTACTGCAGTTACCAATACATTATCAGCAATCAAGGGGAAGCTCAAAGAAATTTGTGCAGCTCAGAAAAGAGATAACAAGTGCACAAAGATTCAAGAATTCTGTCTGGAAGGGTGGTCTAGATATTGTCCAGCAGATCAAGTTTTGAAGAAGTATCATGAAAAGAAGCAACATTTAATAAGTGTAGAAGATCTATTGGCGTGCAACCACCGATTGATTATACTGAAGTCTATGAGTGAAGAAATCCTGAAACAACTTCATGGTAGATATTAGGAAGTCACAAAATGCAGGGCTTGAGTTCAACAGGCCATGTGGTGGCCAGGCACTGTGGAGTAAACAGAAATTTTATCTCTGAGATAGTGACAACACAGTGCGGAGCTGGAGGAACACAGCAGGGCAGGTAGCGTCAGAGGAACAGGAGAGTTGACATTTTGGGTCAGGACCCATCTTCCTAAATGAGGAAGGGGAAGGGAGCTGGGAAATAAATAGAGAGAGGACGGGTGGGGCTGGGGAAGGTAAGTGGGATGGTGATAGGTGAGTGCAGGTAGGGAGCGGTGAGGATTGGTCAGTGGGATGGGTGGGGCGGATAGGTGGGAGAGAAGATGAACAGGTTGTGTCAGGTCAAGGAGGCGGGGATAAGAGGGAGGGTTGGACATGGGATGAGGCCGGGGCGGGGGGGGGGGGGGGGTAGATTTTAAAACTGGTAAATTCCACGTTTAGGCCATTGGGCTGTAGGTTCCCAAGGCAGAATATGAGGTGTTGCTCCACCAGTTTGCAGTTGGCGTCATTGTAACACTGGAGGATGCCCAGGATGGACATGTCACCCAGGGAGTGGAAGGGGGAGTTAAAATGGTTGGCAACTGGAAGGTGTTGTCGTTTGTTGTGTACAGAGCGTAAGTGCTCTACAAAACGATCTCTGAGACTACACTTGGTCTCACCAATGTTTTTATCTCATTGCTAAATCGCCCTTAGAGTTCAGGATATTTTGGTTAGGTAGGTTAGATATGGGAAATGCAGGGGTAGGGGAATGGGTCTGGCTACACCAGAGTGCTATATTCTGTAACTTTTATATAAATGTGTAAATAAAGAGTGTTTGGAGAGACTAAGCAAGGTTTACTTCGACTAAATTTACATGTGAGGGGTGAAAAAGACATTTAAATCTCTGTAAATGCATTAAATTGAATCCCTCTGAGCACTAATTATTTTATCACTTTGTGCAAAAGCACTGGCATTCTGGCCCTGGAACAGATTCAGTTTAAACTTGAACTGTTTAATGCAATTGTAAACAAATGAGTACCATGCTGTGTGCTAGCTGTTGTGGGAGTGTGAAAGCCAGTATTGTGGGTACAACGGGAGCGACAGCAAGTTAGCAGAAATCCAATTTCTTAGATGCAGTACTGTGACATTTGTGAAATTCCACTATAAAACATGTTTTCTGTGTAAGCCACTTTTATACCTGCTCTAGTGGAATGCCAATCTGATTCATCAGTTCTAAAATGGCTACCCTGAGTTCTCGCTGGAAGAGGATCTGTGAGCATCCGTCACTTGGATCTGTTAGAGTGGCCTCGTCCAAATCTGAAAGGTTCTGGAGCCACTCCCATTCATCTCTAGAAGCAGAGATATATGAAATATATTCAATAAAACAATTACTTGAAAGTAAACTAGACCAAGGTTGACACATATGCTAAGGGTGTCACACAGAGAAGAAATAAGATCATAAGCAATTATTATAACACAGAAAAGGCTGTTTACCAACTAGATTTTTTTTCATGTTTCCCATGTACACTGTATCTTATCATGGACTTTACTACACATATTTAAATGCCTTCTACACATCATGTGGAATGTATCCATTTAATCTGGAATTATATTTTATGTTTCCATTGTCTTTAACTCAACCATTTAATCTTCCTCATGGAAGTTCTTACTTATAAATGCAATTCAAACAAAATCTGGAATAATTATCCATCATTATGCCTCCAAAATGATGTGATAATTACATTTCCTGGGTCAAATGATTCACATAACATCAACAGATTCAGGTATAAATTGAACAAATGTAAGGAAAAAACAAGTAGTGAATGTAGGAAATCGCATGTAGTTGAAGTTTAAAGAGCTGGAGAAAATTAAAGGAAATTGCCATAACAAGAAGGCAGAATTTCTAAAAATGTCAAAAGGGATCACAGCCCATTTGTGATCTTTTCCAAAGCAGAAGGGGTGAAGGATTACAAAGTGTCAGATTGTGTGACTATGTGAGCAATACACTAGGTGGCCATGGCCAATGAGTTTTTAACAGGCTGATCAGCTCTGATGAAGAGTCATCTAGACTCAAAACGTTAGCTCGCTCTCTCTCCATGGATGCTGCCTGACCCGCTGCATACCTTAAGTACTGTAACTGAGATGCAGCACAATGGTTGGCTAGGTCTTCTTGTGTTCTGTGCGAGAGATGTAGCCCTCATTTCATTATTTAAGCACAATATCTCAGTGTCAAGAACTCTAAGGGATTCCACACTACAATTTTCAATGTGAACTGACCAGGAAGCCAGAACCATGCAGATTAGTGCGAGCTTCCGAGGCAAGGGTTCAAATTTTTCTCTTTCAAGGCAACATGATAGATTTTAAGGAATGCAGAAGATCCGGATATTTTTTCAACTATGTCACACATTATTGTTTGGAGTATGCTTTATGTATACAGGAGTTTGGCACCGGTAAGAACATGTCATACACAAGGAATACAATGGCGTGTTTAGAAGATATTATCACAGGCCCCACAGGTTGCAGGATGTGAGGGGAGTGTATCACACATAAGGCGGAATCATCTTGAGGCATTGGGGATCTTGTGAGAGACCTGTGCTGCCACTTACAGGGAACGCTAGCCAGGAGACATGCCAAGTAGGCAATGGCGACACTGCTGGTGGGTCTTCCACTGGAATCAAAACCCAAGGGACGGAGATACTGCTGAGTGAGAGCTGCAGGCACTCACAGCTCTTGCACTCAGCAGTACCTCAGAAGAGGCCTTGGCTACAGCTGATATAGCATCCTCAGATTCTCAGGATCATGATGAACAGTGATGCTAGGAGTGGGACTTTCATGTTGGGGGCAGTGGTGAGTAGGAGGACATGGGTTTTGTAAGTAAGGGTAGGAAGATGAAACATGTCCAGTCCTTTGATCAGATATTATTTTTGATTGAGGAATCACCACCACCTGAGGTGACAAATTCCCACAAGTTAGCAGGTGTCATGCACTTGGATGATGTCAGGTACAACACCAGCGGTGACAGAGTGAGGCCCCTTAATTTCTCCTTAACAGTCTAAATTAGAAGCACACAGGAAGATCGACCTTGAGCTTTCCTGTCCAGAATTTAATTCTAGCAGTGACAAAAAGTCACAGAGGGTTTAGGCGCTCTCCCACCCAGCTTAATTAAGTGCCACCTTGCCTCCAAGCTCACAGCCAGGAGCAGATGACTGGGGAAAGTTTGTCACGTGTGGGGTAAGCTTCTCACTGAATTGTTTTAGGTGGAATATGTGGCATATCAGGAAAGTGTGTCATACATTGGGGGGGAGGGGGAAGAGTGTGTCACATGTGGCAGAGGAGAATGTCACATGGAGTTTGTTAAGAACTTTAGATCTGCGTTATTTCACTTACTACCTGGAATTAGTTTTTATTTTGATCTACAATGGCCAAAGAATCTAAAATAAATGTTTAAGCTTTTCTGTTAAAATGCTGCAGTCAGATTTATTTTGCTTCACTTACTAAACCAAGCATAAATGTGAAACATTTTTCGAAACATTTTCTTAGTCATTGTTCTGTGAGACAATCAGTATTAGACACTCTCTGATGACCATTATTAATATATGTGCCTAGTCTGTGCATGTCAGTGAAAAGGCCAACCTATAAAGACTTTGCAGTGACACTGACCTCTACACACAAGCTTTCCAGCAGGGATCACTGAATAATTATCAGGAGCTGGCACTCTAGCTGATTTCTCTTTTCCCAGCTAGAGACACTGTAGGCCATTGTAGCATCTCAACTGCTGCCCAAATGAGATCATCTAACTCAACACAGACTGAATTAAACCTGGCATTGACAGAGTCTATGGCTTAAAACTGCGCATGGAAGGTTTATAAGCAGTACTTTTAGATCAATGTTAAATAGTATTTTCTCACAATTCATTTAATTATCATGCTATTTGTGTTATTCCCTCTGTTACCTGGAAACATTGTGATTGTTTCTTATCTTGATATGACACAGAACATTGGGTAGCTTCTGAGGGACAAGGACATGGATCTGATCAACTGAGCTGCAGAGCTTTAGATAACCAAGATAAAGTCCTGGGGAAAGGGCCTGATTACTTCTTCTATGATAGGCCAGCTTTTCCTGAAGAGAAAAAAAGTAGAATGAGTCTAGCAGATTATCTCTAATAATCCTCAACACAAAATACAATATTCTCAATCATATTTGTCATGATTTTAGGCTGTACTGCTAAAGTAGACCAATTGCTTCCTCTGTAGAGTAACTACAGAGATGTAGAAGCTCATTAACTCTCAAGAAAATAACATACGCCATGAAATAAAATGTCCATGTTTTTACAACTGAGGTACATTTAATGCTGAACATGTGGATTCACGTCTCTAGAAAGAAGTGCATTAAGATTCAATATCGGAAACTTTGAGCAATTAGTCAGGTCTTTGAAGAAGTCAGTGAAAACACAAAATGGAACTGCTCCTCATACAGTGTATGCTGGCAACAAGAATCCTCATGATGAATGCCAATCTACAATTTCTGTTTGTTCTTTCAGTATGTTTTGACTATTAAAATGAATAGGTTAGCTTCCACATTTAAACAGCTGACAGAGGATCTCAGATGTCAATACAGTGTGGAGCTGGAGGAACACAGCAGGTCAAGCAACATCAGAGGAACAGGGAAGTTGATGTTTCAGGTTTACACCCTTCATCAGGATCTCAGATGAATGCATTAAACATTTAGACACAAATTCCAGTGTGTAATCCTTGATCAATGCACTGTATTCTGTGTCTTATTGTGTGTGTAACTCACTTTAACTGTTCACATTCAATCCAAACTGCTTATCTAATTCCAGCATCTGTATATCTCACTCCAAACTTGTGTGTTTTATCCTCTATATAGCACGCTCCAGTCCTTAACTCATCCTGCATATATCTCACCCCAATCTTTGCATATCTTACTCCAGCCTGTGTCTTATCGTCTGTTTAGCTCACTACAACCTATGTACATACCATCCACCTCCAGTGCCTGTCATCATCATCCAGTAGGTGGAACTGAGCTCACAAAGTTTATAGAAACATAGGAATTCTGATGGCTTATGAGAATGTATTTGTACAGGAGCAGCAGCAGTCTATTCAGCCTGTTGTGTCTGCTGCACCATTCAATTAGATCTTAGCCAATCGATCAGCTCAATGCCACTTTCCCACACTATCGCCATGTCCCTTGATGTCATTAACCTCCTTGTACATGCTCAATGTTTGAACTATCACAGCCCTCTGGGTTGGAGTATTACTAAGATTCACCACCCCATGTGAAGAAATTTTTCCTAACCCCTAAATGTGCCATCCCCTATTCTGAGACTGTTTCTGGATTCAATAGCCATGGAAAACATTCTATTTATATACACCCTGTTACTCTTTCAGCATTTTGTAAGTCTCAATGAGATCACCTCTCATTCTTCAAAACTGCAGAGCACAGATCCAGTGTCCTTAATCTCTCCTCATAAAATGATCCCACCATTCCAGAGATTAGTCTGGTGAACCTACATTGCATTCCATCAATGACAAGTACATTCTTTCTGAGTTAAGGAAACCAAAACTGTACACTATACTCGAGATGTAGTCCCTACAATTGCAGTATGACATATTTAGTCTTGTACTCAAGTCTCCTTTAGATGGCCAACACACAATTTCACAGCCTTCTTAATTACTTGCTGCACCCAAATGCTAGCATTTAGTGACTATGGATAAGGATCTCCAGTACCCTTTAGACATCAACACTTTCCAACATTTCACCATTTATGAAATGCTCTGCCTTTCAGTTTTTTTTTCTACCAAAGTGGGCAATTTCACACCTATTTGCATGATTTCCATCTGCCATGTTCTTGCTCATTTATGTAGCCTGTCCAAGTTCTCATGAAGCCTCTTTGCATCCTCTTCACAATAAACATTCCCACCCAGTGGATGCTGGTTAGCATTCATATTGTGTCATCCACAAATTTGGAAATAACACATTTGGTCTCTGCATCCAAATTACACGTTAGGATTATGCTCAGCTGTAGCCCCAGCACTGATCCTTGTGGTACTCCACTAGAAATGGCTTCCCATGCTGACAGTGGACTGTTTATTCCTACTCTCTATTCTTTGCCTGTTAACCAATTATCATTATTTAGGAGTATGGTGACCATTACTGAAACCCTGAATCCCATGTGGTCTAATTTTGTTTACAATGTCCAGTACAGGATCTCATTGAAGGCCTATGAAAATCTAAATACACCACATTCACTGGTTCTCCTTTGTCTTTGCTACCTTCTAGTTTGCAGGAATCTTTCTAGAATCTGTAACATTTTAAAAGAAAACCACCAAGGCATCCATTATCTATTTAGCCACTTCCTTCAATACTCTGGGATGTACATCATCTGGTCCAGGGAACTTATTAACCTTCAATCCAGTTCAATTTCCTTTGAGTACTACCTCTTCATGAATACTAATTTATTTTAGTTTCTCATTTTCACAAGTCTTTTGGTTCCTGAGTATTTCTGGGAGATTTTTTTAATCTTTCTCTGTGAAGTCAGTCACAAAATAATTGTGTAGTTTTTCCAACATTTCCCTGTTCTTCATTATAAATTGTCATGACTCCACCTATAACTCACATTTGTTCTTGCTAATCTTTTCTTTTTCACATGCCTAAAGAAGGTTTTATAGACTGCTTTTAACAGGCCCATGACAGAGCACTTAATGAGAAGGGCTGTAGAGTTGAACACTTTCTTTATTTTTCTGCCTTTATATTCTATGTTTTGGTTTATTTTTCTGTATTTTAAGATGGCACCGGAGATGGTGACACTATACAACATTTTTCACTATATTTTGTAACAAAATACATGTGACAGTAAATAAATCACCAGTTGGCATTCATATTCACATTTCATTCTCTTAATGAGTTTCTTGATCCTCCATTGTTGGATTCTAAATTGTTTACAGTTGTTTCAAAGCTTAGTACATTTTAAGCATCCTTTGATCTAATGCAATTTCTTACCTCTTTTGTTAGTGATGGTTGATTCACCTTTACCTATATTTTTTAATCATAGAGAAATATAATTCTAATTTAAATACTAGCTGTTACATATTTGCTGTAAAATCTTTAAGTGCATTTTCCCAATTCACCACAGCCAACTTGCTTCTCATAGTTTCAGTTTGCTTTGTCGAGCATTGTGACACATTTCAGTATGATCATTATCACTTTCAATGTGTGCAATCATAACCAGAGAATCACTTAGAATGGTTTATTTTCCTGCTCCTGTTTCATAACCACTTGCGTTCTCCAAGGATCTATCCTTGACTCCCACCCCTTTCTCCTCCCCTCCCCCTATTCCTCATTGACATATTGCCCTCGCATTACTGATATTAATCATCTAAAAAATGTGTCAGTTTTCACAAGTACACTCGGAATCTTAGCTCTATTTCATCACAATCTGTTTTGACTCCTCTACTGTCTCTAAATTATCAGATTGCTTATCATACATTATTATTATTCTTATTTTCATTATTAATTACTATCCAGCACTTGGAATACCAGAAACTTCCTCCAACTAAATATTTTGAAAAAATGTATTTTCATCCCTGACAGAAACATTGTTCCCTACCCACCAATTCCACTGCTCTCCATTGTCTGAAGCAGAACCAAACTGTTCACAATGCAAGTGTTGTGTTTGAATTTGGGATGAGTTTACGATCGAATATTGTGCCATCACCAAAACTATCTATTTTCCACGTCTGTGACATGGCTCATCTCTGATACGCCTCAACTTAATCACACTGAATCATCATCCATGTCTCTGTGTCTCTAGACTTCACAATTCCAATGCATTCGTGGCTGGTCTCCTATTTTCCATGAATTTAAGATCATTCAAAATTTTGCTGCCTGTATTCAAACTCACTCATTATTCATATGACCAATGACACACATTGGCTCCTAGTTTGCAAACTATTTAATCTCAAAATTCTCTTTCTCATTTATACATTCTTCTGCAACCTGGTGCTCCCTCTCTGTGTAACTGGCTTCAGCCCTACAACCTTCTCGAAATCTCTGTGCTCTTTTAGTTCAGCCCCCTTGAACATCTAAATTTTAGACATTCCACCCTAGGCATTTGTTCTTTCAGCTGTCAAGGCCCAAAGTTTAGGAATTCTTTTCCTTAATCTTTCTGCCTCTCTACCTCTGTTTCCTTTTTAAAGTACTCCTTAAAACCTACCTCTTTGGATAACCTTTGGTCATCTCTCCTAAAACTTTACATAGCGATATGTCACATTTAACTTAATATCACCCCTATGAAGCTCCTTAGGCAAATGTTGCTATGTTAAAGTGTTAAATAAATACAAGCTCTTGTAATGCTTCTGAAAAAGAAAATGCACAAAGAAGACAGACAACATGGAGTAAGAGGAAATATAGTAACATCGCAATTAGGTTAACAATGTATGTATGTTACTGCATGGAGTGAGGTGAATAAAGCTGATGAGCTGCAAGCACTGGCTTAATAAATGAATTGGGTATTAATTGTTCCAAGTTTTAAGGTCTTCATGAAAGATAGGGAAGGGAATAAAAGAGGGATGATAGTACTGGTTAAAGAGAATATAACACTGCAGGAAAGTGATCATACCTTGGAAGGGTCAAGGACAAAGTCTATTTGTCTAGAGCTGAGAAACACCAGAAGTGTCATTGCATTGTTAGGTTTATTCTATGATCACCAAATAAAGGCGAAGATATAAAGAACACATTTTCGAGGAAATTGCAGGGATTATGGTGTAATTATAATGAGGGACCTTAATTATCCAAAAAATAGCATGGATAGTAACAGCATAAAGTCCAGAGATGGAAAAGAGTTCAGCAGAATGTTCTACATCAGTATGTTTCCAGTCCAATGAGGAACGAGGCATCTCTGGATCGGTTTCTGAGGAATGAATAGGACAAGTGAATCAAAAATCAGTAGGGGATCATCAGAGACAGTGTCAAAAGACCTAATGGTTCAACTCCAATATGACTCTTCTTTGGAATTCCAAGGAAGTGTCATATTGGATTTTAAAGATAAATTCTGTTTCTCTCTCCACAGATGCTGTCAGGTCTGCTGCTTTTGTCCACTGCATTTCATTTTTATTTCCAATCTCCAGCATCTGCAGTATTTTACAAAGAAACATGGAAAATGAGAGCAGGAGTAAGCTATTCAGCCCTTTGAACCTGCTCTGCTATCCGGAATGGGCATGTTTAATCATCTAAAACAGCCTGTTCCTGCTTTTTCCCCACATCCTTTGATCCCTTTAACCCCAAGTGCTATCTGCAACACACACCATGTTTTAGCCTTCACTGCTTTCTGTGGTAGTGATTCCATAGGCTTACCACTCTATGGGTGAAGAAATTTGCCTTTACTTAATTAGAATCAGAGTCTGACAGGCAAAACTCTAATTGAGAAATGGACTGCCTTTAAGGATGTGACTGTATGGTACAGTCAAGTTCATAACTATGAGATGAAAATTTCAGACAAATAAAAGTCAAAGCTCACTGGATGGTGAAAGAGATATGGAGTAAGCCAAAACTGGAAAATGGTGTGTATTAGGATTTCAAATTTATTATATGCATGAGAATGATGTTAGATATAGGAGAGGAAGTGAAAAAGTAAATGAGAGCAGCAAAGGGATAACATGAGAAGACTCAGGGCTAACATCAGGAATCCAAGAATCTTCTAAGCATATAAATAGTAAAGTGGCGATAAAAGGATTAAAAACTAAAAATAGCATTGAGTCCTTTGCTTCTGCATTTATCAAGGAAAAATATTTTGTCAAAGAGACAGTGAAAGAGGATGCAATTGGGACACTGGATGGGGCTAAAAATAGATGTAAAGGCAGTATGAGAGTTCCTGGCTGTACTTACATAAGTCATGAGGACAGGATCAGATACATCCAAGGATACTGAGGGAAGTGAGCATGGAAATTGCAGAGGCACTTGCCAGATCCTTCAATTCTCCTTAGATACAGAAGTGGTGATAGAAAACTGGAGAATCACAAATGTTACAATGATTTGGAATTGTAAATATGTTGTCAATCTTTAATTCCATCAACTGATTTAATACCTGAGACTTCCATTTGAAAGAAAATATATTTAAATGGAACAACAGACTGTATTTTTAAATGGTTGTAGAGTTCACCTGTCCTACAAGAGTGGTCAAGTTTCTGGCATGGAGTAAGAAGGGACATATCTGAGCAGTTCCCTTTAGAACCTGCCATTGTTTGAACTATCTGGAAGAAAAAAGCCTAAGGGCATATGCAACAATGATCTCATCTGCAGGAAGTACCAGAGTCTAAACCCATTATGTGAATTGGTGCTAAAGACTCCTATTTATTTCAACAGAATCTTGAAAGCTTCAGAATAGGAGGGTCAGTGTCAGCTTCGAGAGAAAAAATGATGGAAAATAGTGATTTGTGGTAAATGGTTATTTTTCAGACTGATAGACAGTGGTGCACCCCAGTGATCAGTGCTAGGAGCACTGCTTTTGAAAGATGACTTGGAATTTGGAACATGGAGTAAAAATTCGCAACTTGACAACAATTTGAAGTAATGGTCAACAGTGAGAATGGGCTGAGTTTTGAGTGGTTTGGCTAAGTACCAGTTGTGTCAAGTTTTTGGAGGGATTTTTGCCTTGAGGCCCATGATTTTTCTTGCCGCAGGTTACCAAACTCACCTCAGTCATTGCCTGCCACACCCCTATGGCATTCCTCTTGTCTAAATCGATCCCTACCTTACCACCTGTGGTTCCTAGGACAGGAACAATAGCATTGGCTTGGCCTCAAATAGAGTACTGTGTTCTTTTCAGGAAGGTGTGAAGGCAATAGAGAGGGTGCAGAAAGGATTTGTGAAAATGGTTCCAGGGTGAGAGACTTCAAGATGTGGATTGATTGAAGATGATGTAACAATTCTACTTCAAGAAGAGAAGGTTGAAAGAAACATGACAGAGATATTCAAAATTAGGAGAGATCTGAGCAGATTAAGTAGGGACAAACTTTGCATCGGCTAAGTAGGGACAAACTTTGCATCGGCAGAAGGGTCACAAAACAGGGAACAACTATCAAAAGTTGCTGGCAAAAGAGCCAAGGCAATGTGAAGAAAAACTTTTATGCAGCAACAGGTTTGGATCTGTAACCCACTTATTTAGTGTGTGCCAGACACAGATTCAATTATAGCTTTCAAAAGGGAGTTGGACAATTATTTAAAGATAAATTATTTGCAAGAGTTACAGGAATGCAAATGGGATAAAGAGTTGTTCAACAGAGTACTGTACACAGACACAACAGGCCAAATAGCCTCCTTCAGCAACAGTACCATTCCACAAATCTATGAAAACTGCTTTGTAAGTACAAACTGTTGTGCTTGTTGTATAACTCATCCCAGCCTGTTTATCTGCTTTGTGGCAGTTCTGTAAAGCTGGATATGGTCTCAAAAGTGGTGAAAGGGCAAAACTACTGAAAGATTTAACCTCTGGGATTTGTACAATAAAGTTAAAGCATTGTGAAATTAAGGGTCAGTGTAAATCAGTCAGAACTAATAGATGACAGGGTCTACCAGTAGGATAGTAAATAAGCAAAATGCCAAACAGCTGAAAATTAAATCCAGAAAAACCTACACACAGAGAAGTGTGAAAATACAGAATGACACCTGGGAGTAAATTTAAATTAAGGCTTTAAAGGGATAGAGATAGCTACATGGAATGAAAGGATGCCAATCAATATGCAGATGAGGTAGGAAATTAAAGATATAGAGGTGCTATTGATAACAGAAGTGGAGGAGCATGTTGAATAGGACATGCTGAAAATTGTCTCTGCAAGTTAAAGAAACCAACAGACTGAAATGTTTGGCAGACGCCTATTCCAAGAGCATATTTCTCTTGAGATAATTGCCCATTCAACACTCATCACCATCCATGACCAGGATCACAACCATAGACCTGGATGCCAGCAAAGTGGTCTCTAAACAAAACATTGGTTAGGAATTTGATCCTTCACAAAAAAATTAGTTATGTTGCTCTACAAACAAATGAAATTCCAAATAACTTAAAAAAAAACAATTTTTCTCTCTATTTCATGTCATCTTTAGCTGTGTGTTAACTTGTAAACTCTGTTTTATTAATTGTCATCCTACATGGAGAGTTAACAGCAACATATCCAGTGCAGTGGGATCTTCTGAAGAGGAGAGTGACTTGCGCTGAGTCTGGAGCTTAGACAGGGGAATCCATCTGACATTCTCTAGACTCTGGTATGAGCTCAGTTCCTTCAGGGTTACGATCAGTACATTGCCATGTTTGTCTTTAATGGGTTCGAAGTACACGTGGCCAAGATTTTGGGTTCCAAGCAGTCCCTGTAAAATAAAGAGAGCTTAAGAAAAATTAGGATCAGAAAACCAGCAGGGCCAAATTTTTAAAAATTTTAATCATTTCATGTATTGTGAGTGTCCCTAGCAAGGTCACCATTTGTTACTCATTCCTGATTGCCCTTGAGGTGATGAGCTGCCACTTAAAACCACTGCAGTTCACGTGGTGCAGGTCTACCACCTTGTTGTTAGAGAAGTGAGTTCCGGAACTTTGACACAGTGACAGTCAAGGAAAGGTAACTTCCAAAGTTACTGTGTTGTTTGGCTTATTGTTTATTTCAAGAAACTTTCAGTTGGCATTTATCCAATGCTCTAGTCCTTCTAGGTGGCAAAGGTTGTAGGTTTGAAAGGTCTTGTTAAAGTGGCATGGTGAATTGATGCAGTGCATCTTGTACATGATGCAGATTGCTGCCACAGCAGTAGATGTAATTAATATTTAAAGTGGTGAATCGGTTGCCAATGAAGAGGGTTGTTTTCTCCTTGTTGATGTTGAATTAAAGGTATATTGTTGAACGTGCATTCATCCAGGTATATGGATGGTTTTCCATCACATGCCTGACTTGTGCCTTGTACCAGATTTTGCAGGGTTGGGTTTGGGAGGGGAATGGGAAGTAGAGGTCCTCACTGCAGAATTCTCAGAGTCTGACCTGGTTTATACAGTTTTGAAACGGCTAGTCTAATTCAGTTTTTGGTCAATAATAACCTCCAGGATATCTTGGTGGACAATTCATTGACGGAAATGCAAAAGAATATCAAGGGAGGAATGTTAGTCACTCATCATGGATTGATTAACTCCATGAGTTAGTTTATTTAAGACAGTGAACTACATTATAAATTAGGAAGCAGGCATTACTGCAAACCAGCTGATTTGCAGCTTGCAAACACATCCCAGACTGTCAAGCAGAGTCACAACATTGTATACACACATGGAGTACTTCAAGGTGAATTTCCTTAAACTTTAGGTACACATACAACAGGGCGTAAGAATCTACCCTAGTGAATCCTGCATCAATGTCATGGGGATGATACGATTGGTCTCTAACAATCATAACCATCTTCCTTTATGCTAGGTTTGATTTCCACTGACATCAGTTTTGCTTGGGCTCCTTATTGCCATACTCAGTGAAATATTGCCTGATATCAGGGATTGTAACTGTCATCTCACTTTAAAATGCTGAATTATAAGGACAAGTTACATAAAATTACTTTGACTTTCCTTGAGTTTAGAAGATTAAAGTCATATGAATTAAGACCATCTTCACAAGAGGAACAGAGGTAAGCAATGAATATAGGTCTTGCCAGCGACACCTGCATCTTATGGAAGTGGCATGATGTGATTTCTTTCTCAAGCTGACTGACAGTTACCTTTAGAACAGGTCTGTGAACAAATAAATTTAAAAGGGTTTTTAAAAAATTGCTAATGAACCCTTTAATATGTTTCAATATTGTTGAATACATGGTTTTGCATTTCCTTCACACTTCTCTCATATAAGTGAACAAAGTGCTACAAAGAAAACATGAAGATCACTTGGCACACAATTCTGTGCTGTAAATTTTTAAAAAGCATATCAAAAAGTAATTATTTTTCATGTTTGTTCATGTTTTCCCATCAGAACATGTGCTGTTTGTATACCTCAATTGACAGGCACCCGAGTGTTCAGTATTAAATACTGCTGGAGCAAATAAAACACAGAGTTAGATACAAAATAAAGCTCCCTCTAGTCTAAATTGTCCCATCAAATATGCCTAGGGAAGGTACAGCATGGGTTACGCACAAAGTTTCTTCATTCTACACTGTTGCATCAAACATTCCTGGGACAGGTACAGTACAGTGTACATCTGCAGAAAAGCTCTCCCTAGCAGATGCATCTTAATTCATTAGTTTCTAGGATGAATGTGGATATAAGAATATGCATGGTAAGGACAGAACAAATAGCTTTTAAATAGAGATTGAATTATATCATTTCCTGGTTCAATTATCTTTCATCTCTTATGGCTTAAAACTTTGTTTTCATTGTATTAACATTTCACTTTAAGCGATGTGTTTTGCAATTCCATTTGCATTTAATGAAAGTCTACAAGAAGTCTATACTCAGATTAGTAGACTAATCTGGTGCAACAGCAGAGGAATTCTTGGCACGTAACTGATATGTAGTGTGGGTGCCGGAATCGGCCTTTAAACCAGCTGCACCCAAGTACCCATTCCTGTATGTGAACCAGGACAGTGACAGCTGTGACAAGCCACATTCAGTCCTCACCCAACTTCCACCGCTCTATAATTGCTAGGAGAATTTTAACAGATTTTTCACTAAGTGTAGGGAATTATCTATTTCCTTACAATCTCTTTCTTTAAACACTTGGAATACGATATGACTAATGCCACCTGAATGTAGATGGGCACAGGTTTATTTCTGATCTAAGACACGATGTTTACAGAAAGATGAGCACAGGTGGCAATATCTTCCAGCATGGACAGGAGAAATTGGGCAGAGGGTCTACACTGTACTTGCAGGAGAAATGCTGACTGAAGTGATCCTTATCTCAGTTCAGGGACTGAATTAACACATCAGTGGCAGGGATTCAGAACCTCAATGCCAACTGCTGAACATTTCCAATGATCCCAAAGTATAAAAAGTAGTGGCACTGGAGCAGGCAGTGCAGAAATTATAGATTGAGTTCGATAAAATACTTAAGTTTGTAGAAGAAAGGCAAATGAACATTAATGTAGACAATTGTTAAAATGTCACAAAACAAACAGACAGCACACACACCATTCTTTTACACAGATTTTTAATGTAGTAAAATCTCTCAAGATGCATCAGAAGAATGTTATTAAACAGAATAATTTGACATTGAACCATGTACGGAAGTATTACAGCAGACAAGGTAGGTTTAAAGGCTGTACCTTAATGGGGAAGATGAAGCAGACAGTTTTATACAGGACGTTCAAGAGCTTTTGCCTTGGCAAGCTCTGAATACAGAGCCACTAATGTTGAAGTTATGGATTCTCAAGAAGTTAAGTGGCAGAGTGTAGATATCATGGAGAGTTGTAGAGTTGAAGGAGGTTACAGAAATAAGGGGGGGTGAGGCCATGGAAGGATTTGAATACAAGCATGAGAATTTTAAAATCAAAGAATTGTTTTATAGCCAGGAGCCAACGTAGGTCAGTACGCAAATGTTAATGGATGAATGAGACTTGGTGTAAGTTAGGACACAGGCAGTACAGCTTTGAATATGCTCAAGTTTATGAAGGGTTGTAAGATAGGGAGTCAGCCAAATGTGTGTGAGAGTAGCAAAATGTGGAGGTAAACATGACACAGATGAAGTTGTTGGCCTCACATATACTGAGGCAAGGGTGGAGTCAGGTGTGATTATGGAGGTGCAAGTAGTCAGTCTGAGTGATCATGGATGTCTGATCAGAAATTCAACTCAGGATAAAATCCAATCTGTGAATGGACCATGATAAGGTGGAAAGAGATTTTAAGAATTTAAGACTTCATGTTCAACATGTTCAGCTACTGAACAACACAAATAGCAAGGCAGAGAAATACAACAAACAGAATAATATTTGAAATTGAATATTGAAAGTCGAATTAAGGAATACAGGCTCAATCTTGTGTAAATATAGAACCAAATGCTGTGTGTAAAGATTAATCAATGTGTGAAATTGATTCCCAGATATGAGACAAAAAACCATGAATAATTTATAAAACAGTTGGATACCACAGTGGTAGGAAACAGTCAGCTTTAAGGTATCTCTGGATGGATGAACCAGATGATCTTCATCTATCAATATCTTTCAGCAGCAGAGGTAGCCTGATGCCAGGCTATCTGTGCCCAGTCTATTATTCCCTCACATTAGGCTCAGTGCCCAGTTTCTCTCTGATCCATAGTAGGCTTGTTGCCCAATCTTTTCTGTCTGAGACCAAGCACAGTTCCCAACCTATTGCTCCCTGACACGAAGATACCTTATCCTTGTTTATCATCGTTTGTGCAAAGCTAGGGGGAGAGAGAAAAGAGAGTTTAAATATATAGGATTTTTATATTCTTAAAAAAAAAGGAGAACTTCTCTAATACCTCCTCATATATTAGAAACATAGAAGCCATGTACATGGCTGGGGAATCAGTTATATATCAACACAATCCATTCAATAGCTTCAGCTGCTTTGGACTGAATGGTTGTGATGCACCAATAGATCGCTCACGGCAGAGGTTCAGTATTGGATGTCTCAGTCACAATCTGATCTGTTCCTCATGTTCTGCTTGTGGAGCAAATGGCCATATTTTCCTTAGCCTGACTTCAAGCAGTTGATAAGAGCAGTCTTCGGATATATACTTTCATCACAAATACTCTCTAAATATAAAAGTAAATATGTTTGCCTTTTTCATATATGTTAGAGTGTGTCCTGTTGTTAGTCAGTTTAAGACCACTAACCCCTGTTTTAATGGTTTATGACATCTATTGTAATCTGCCATTTCTCATATTGTTGAACATTTTGTTCAACTCCTCCTATGGCATACAATTAAAGTTCTCTTTAAGTTTTATCTTATTATCTTACTTTATATTAACCTGCAATAAGCTGAACATGAGAGTCAGATAATTTGGTTTCCATGATGCAATTAATGAGCTGGTCATCTCAGCTTTTAGAGAGACCAAGAGAACAATGAAAGTTGATGAAAAGCCAGTTCTGGTCAGAAATGTTGATATTACGCATTGAAAGCTTTACTAATACCTTTAAATGGGGCGATTTGATAAGGAACTGAATTCCTGCCTGAATTCACAAACAAGTACAAATTCATCAACAGTCTGATAGTTGGGGAATACCCAGCTAACAGTGATCAAGATATTATTGAATTCATGCTAAGAATTAAGAGCAGGTTGAGTCACAAACCAAGATTTCAAATGCTAGTCACTACAACTTTGGGGGAATAAGGATAAGAGCTTGGATATGACCACATTAAACACAGCAAAGAAGAGGAAATGGCCTAGTAATCTTATCACTAAACTGTTAATCCAGGTAATGTTCTCAGGCCTGGGTTGGAATCCTACCATGGCAGATGGTAGAATTTGAATTTAATGAAAATCTGGAATTATGAGTCTGGTGAAGACCATGGATCCATTGTCAATTGTTGGGGAATCACCCAACTGCTTCACTAATCTACTATAGGGAAAATGCCATCCTTACCTGGTCTAGCTTAGATGTAACTCCAGTCCCACAGCAATGTGATTGATTCTTAACTGCCTTCTGGGAAATTAGGAATGGGCAATAAATGCTGGCATAACCAGTGATGCCCTCATCCCGTTAAAAATTAAAAAAAAGCTAAAATGAACATAGGTGTTGTTCAAGAATTATGTTTTAAAATTCAAGATCAATAATCAACAAATGTGGTCAACAAAACAGATTATAAAAGAATGGTCTTATGTATCAAATATAATATGCACAGTGGCCATTGCATCAGTCTACATCAACTCACAAACAATGAACATTTTCTGACTTTATATTGAAACTACGCACCGAGTGGAGTATGGTTGCAATGGATGGGACAGGCTTAACAAGACATGAAGTGAAGTGGTTCTAATTAACGTACATTCAGCTCAATGAACTGAGAAAATTTTCACTCACCTGAAGTTGAGCAACTGCTACAAGCATCTTATGACGAGCCTGTAGTACTGATGAGCAGGAAGACAAAGAAGGACACATACGTTGACCTAGCCATCGACTATCTTCCCACATACATGATACCTGTGTTAGAAAGGAAGTGGTGAGCAGATAATGGAATGATTATATTTTTGCTAACACACTTCGTGGCTGATTCATACACGTTTCTGATAATTTGAATTCACTGCCATTCCCCGAAACACACTTGTAATTCACCAGGTGTTTCACAGCTGGCGATATTCTTTGCAGACCCATTTTACATCAGAAGAGTAGGTGTAAGATTGTGTTGCTGGGTGCTGAACACATTTCAGCCACCACAGTACAGCAATTTCAACCGCCCACCATCATATCCCTGAAAAGCACGCATCTAATCTCATATAATTTTATAAATCACAGTGCAGAGTATTGCATCTTCCCCAAACACGCAACAGGCCCACACCATGAGTGAAAATAACAAGCCATATTTATATTGTACTTTAATGTAGTAAACGTTTGCAAATGCTTCAATAGGAGCAAACAATATGTGACACAGCCACGTAAGAAGATATGAGTGCAGGGGCCCAAAATCTTAGAAATAAATTTCAAGAAGCATTTTAAGTAAGGAAAGAGGAACAGAGAGTTTTTGATATGTAATTCCAGAGCTTAGGGCTTCAGCAGATCAAGGCAATGCCAACAATGATGGAGTGATTAAATACTGGCTCCAAATACTAGAATTAGAGGAGATCCGATGTTTTAGAGTGTTGAAGGGTTAGAGAACTTTACAGAGAATGAGAAGAGTGAGGCCATGAAGGAATTTGAAAATCCAAAAGAAAATTTTAAAATCCAGGCAATTCTTAACTAGGAACGAAGAGAGTTTATTGAACACAAGGGTGACTAGGAGTCAAGTTTTGTTCTATTTCTGTTGGTTGTGAGACAGCTTTTCCCTTTGCTAATACTGTTTAGCATGCATATAGTCTTGTCATTTGCCTTCACATGTTGCTTCCTCAATTTTAGGTTTGCTTTGTGTTGCTCCTGGATGCTTTCCTGCATCCTTCATTGAATGAGATTTGCTCCCCTAACTTAATGACAATGATAGAGTGAAGGATGTGCTAATCCAACATTACAGTTTCAGGGTGAATACAATTTTGCTACTGGTCGTCTACTGTGCCTTGTGAATGCACATCTGTGCATGGTGGTAGTACCATACAACACAATGGAGGTTATCCTCAGTGGGAAAATGATTCTCTATTTCCACAAGAGCTGTATACTGTATTTGGTATTACTCTCACCTTTTTCCACAAGAGCTGTATACTGTATTTGGTATTACTCTCACCAATACTATCATGGACAGATGTATCTGTAACATGTAGATTGGAGAAGATAAAGTCAAATAAGCTTTTCCTTCTTTTGGTTCTCTCCTGCACAGGCCCAATCTAGCTAATCCCTTTTATTGTATATTTCCTCCATACCTAACTTTATCCCATACAATGTGATATATTCTTTCTCTTTAACTACAATGTTTGCATCATCCCCCACTTTTGCGAAAACAGACATACAATATTCATTGAGAACCATGCCATCTTCCACCTACACACACGTTACTTTTCTGGTCTCTACTCAGCTCTGTTCTTTTCTTAGTTTCATATTATTCTTTACATATTTATAAACATCTTTATGTTTTCCATGATTTTACTTGCCAACAATTTTTCTTGTCCTCTCTTTGCTTTCCTACTTTCTATTTTAATTTCACTACAGCACTTTTTAGACTCCGCTAGGCATTTTTTAGCATTCAGTTTCAATATTTGAAAAAAAGCTTTACTTTTTGTTGCCTTATTGTACTTTATCTACTCTTTGCTATCTAAGTGGACCTAGATTTGTAAGTCTAACCCTTTCTTCCTGTATGGGAAAATATTTGCTTTGAACCCTCTTTAACTCTTCCATTCATGTCTCCCACAGTTTTGACAATGATTTACATTCAGTAACTGGAGAAAGCAAAAATGTTAGTAGTTAAAAGGGAGAAACTAGACTGAAGATTGAAATGGATGGTGTCATATTGGAAACATGTGGGTATGTTTGTCTATTTAGGATTAATGATAACAGAAGATGGTAAAGGTGATGCAGAAGTTAGATGCAAAATAGAGATAGCTAGAATATTGTGAAGATGAAGAATATATATAAGAATATTCAAAAACATAACATGAAAAGTCTCATTGAATGTTGCTTTCCATCAATTTCTGATGTGCCCCGGAAACTTGGACAATAAGTAAGTATCTGTAGAAGAAACAGAGGCTTTTGAAATGTGGATGCTAAAACATACACTAAAAAAAATCCAAAATCCATATATAAATTGCAAAAACTAAAAGAACTCTTAGAAAATGACATCTTAAAAAGAAAATGTCAGTAATTCAGCCATTTGATCAGAGCCATAAAGCTGCCAGAGGGCTCCCTAAATAGCCAAGTGAAGGGTAGCAAAAAGAGGGATTGACATAGGCATAGTTGAATGATTGATATTACAGAGCAGTTCCAGTCAAACTACAGTGGATGTATGAGAATGGTACGAGACAGATGAGCGTAGCATACCATGACAGCAGATCGCCTGGCAAGAGCAGTTATAAACAGCAGCTTCCAGTTCACTTTTGCCAAAATACATCTGAACTTTGTAAAGTTGGCCCCTCGAAAATTTATGAGCTTTATTCTTGGGCTCTCTCTTTTTTGAATTACATTTTTAACTGAAATATGATCACCGCCACCAGGAAAATGCTCACCAACTGCCCAGCTTTATTTCCTAAAACAAGGTCCAGAATTGCATCACTTGTTGGAGTTGTTGCATATTGGTAAAAAAATGGGTTTTCTTAAATGCATTCTAACAATTATGCACTCTCAATAACTTTTACGCTAGCCCTAAAGCAGTTAATAATACAGAAGTTTATATCCCTGAAAATTACCATTCTATTGTTTCTGCATTCAGTAATTCACCTACAGATTTGGTCTTCTATTACATTTTGACTGTTTAAGGGCCTATACAATTCTCCCTTCATTCTTACTTCTTAATTTAACTTGTATTCATTTGATGAACTTTCTCGCATGTAAGCCCGCCTCACAGTTAAAATTGTTTCTTTGATCAATATTATGATTGAGATGACCCTCCCATTCCTTTTTAATTCCTTTGTTATTCTATCCTGTCCGAAAATCATATAATCGGGAAATGCTGAGCTACTTTTCCTGCCCTTCTTTAAGCCTTGATTCAGTATTAGCTAACATATCATAGCATGAAGTACCTATCCATACCCTGAGTTTATATGTCTTATTCATGGCAATTCTTGCATTGAAGTATATATCACAAATCACTAAACATCTTGGTTATCAACTTTCTAGGTTTGTCTCCTCTATCTTCCACACTTATTTTTTAATTTCCTGCTTTCCACTTTCCGATCTGCTTCTCTCTTCTGAATTTGCTTATGTTCCCATTCCCTTGCCAAGCTAATTTAAACTCCTTACATAAGTACTTGCAAACATCTAAACCACAATACAGTTCATATCCCTGTTGAGATACAACTTATTTTGCACAGTTCCCAACACCTCCAGAATCAGTCCCACTACCCCAGAAACCTAAAGCACACCCTCTCTTCAGACATTCAGCTGCAGTATTCCTGAGGAGGATAAGTGATGCAATGAGGACACAAAAAGAAATTTTGCTCCTTGAGTTTGACAGAAAGTCACCAGCTGGCATGGTTGCAATTTTCAGAAGCTATCTGCAGCAGCAAATGTGTGGTGCCAAGGACATGGACCAGTGCCAGAAAAAGTTTAATGATCTCATTTAGTCTGGCAAGATGAGTGTCCTACAAGTTCCAGCTGGCAGTCATCATGCTCTCACCTCCTTAGTATTTTCCTGCCCAGCACTTTTCTGACCAACACACCTTGCTGTTACACATATTAGTTTCTTTCTAGCCTCTTCCTGAAAACTTCAGTTCAACAGAGAACACTCACACAAATTTTACTACCCTCTTGCACCCATTCCTCACAGTGACTCTCCTCAAGTTCACTTCCTCCATCTCTCAGTGGCTAAATAAATCCTACCTTGCTGCATTTTGTGCTGGTAGAAGAAGGGAGCCTACAACTCCTCAGAAAGGCTGAGAAGCAGAAATAGGCCAGCTAGGACCATCCTGACTGACAAAGGAGAAAATACTTGAGATTAGGAGAGTGTTAGCAGTACAAGATTTTCTGAAGGTGAGATGTTGGTGGCCAGAGACCTGGTGGAAGTATTAGATGTCACACTGACATGTCACTGTCTCTCATGATGAATCAATGCTACCATTACATTGCATAATGCTGAGTTGGCACCCAATTTCAGCACTAAATTGTATCTTTCATCTGCCACAGAAGTATTGATGCTGACGGCAGAGGAGTTGGGGGAGTGGGGGGGGGGGAAGGGGGGTGGGGGGAATGCCTGTGGAGTCTTCAGAGGAGGATTCAAATATTGAGGATGCACTGTCACATGATAGCTGCACACCGTCCACCAGTGCAGATTTCACTCATTTCGAAGGTTCAGCATTGCTGATAGATAGGATGGCACATGGTGAGAAGCACATCATACGTGAGCAAGAGCAAGTGCTGGAGACAGAATCAAGAGTTGAGAGTTGCCAATGAATAGTGGGAAATTTGAAGTTTGACTCAGCTGAATGTAGATTCTGAGCTTTGGGGTCACCCAGTAAGTGTAGTTGTGGAACTACACTGTGTGTTTCTGCCAGAATTTCCAGAGGTAGTGCAGACTCCTGCACAGAAAATGTGATCATCTCCACTGAAAGAATGGCCCATATCATGGAGAATGCCATTAGGCCACTGAATGCATGGTGGCTCAAAATATTAACACTGGCCTAAGATAACAAGGTGTAGAGCTGGATGAACACAGCAGGCCAAGCAGCATCAGAGGAGCAGGAAAGCTGACATTTTGGGCCTAGACCCTTCTTCAGAAATGGGAGAGCTGAAATAAATAGGGAGACAGGGGGAGGCGGATGGAAGATGGGTAAAGGAGAAGATAGGTGGAGAGGAGACAGACAGGTCAAAGAGGCAGGGGTGGAGAAGTAAAGGTGCGTGTAGGTGGGGAG